TGGTCAGGGAAGGCTAGGGAGTATTTTTGGAGTCAAAAATAAAGAAAAAGAGGCCAACTGTGAAAGTCCCCAAGTAAACCACGCAAAACAGGAAGAAAATTCAGAGAACTGGTTTGACCGCGATTCCACCGCGACCGCGGTAGAACCGCGGTGGAAGGTAGATGCGGATAAATTGAGAATCAGAGAAGGCATTTGGCCGCGGTTTGACCGCGACCGCGGCAGAACCGCGGCGGAAGCAGAAAACTTGAGGGACTAAAGTGTAAAATACGGGATTTTTAGACATAAACCCTATTTTAAATACAAGACTTCGCCCAAAAGAGGCATGTATTGAATTTTAGAGTATCTTGGCAAGGAAAACAATTGTGAGAGATCACCCAAAACATCTTTCTTCTTTTCTTTGATTTTTCTTGAAAGTTTTATGATGAATATTGTTTTAGTTTGTTTACCCATAGTTATGAGTAGCTAAATCCTTTGTCTAAGGTTGTGATGGAACCTATTGGGGGATGAACTTCTTGTTTATGTGAATACAAATTGCTAGTTCCAATCTCTATTTGTTCAACTATGTGTTTGTTGAAGTTAATTGACAGGATCCTCAATTAGCTGTGCCTATTTAGTGTGCATAACTTGGAAAAGAGTGCATATTTAGGTTATTGTTGAACAACACCACTCCCAAAGTATAAGAGGAATCTATAATTGCGGGTTTAAAGGCGGGATTAGGGATAACGAAGCCTTGGGTGTAATCTAAAGTGAATTGTGCTAAATAAAGTAAGCTAGTGTATCTCGGGAGAGTGCAATTAGTATATTACTGTGATTACTCGGGAGAGATTTACGGTAAGATGAGCGTTCATGATTAATAGAGATGTGTTGGTAAATTTGTATGAGCATAAACAGAAGGGATTCTTTCAATAGGGGAAATCATTGCCTTAGCTTCTTCTCATCATTGTTTACAACCTTAGCATTTTAATTTACAACTGTTTAATTTACTTACAATCGTAGTTAGTAAAGCAACCTTCAACTGTGATTCAAACATCTGGGAAACTGGTTCTGAAGAGTTTAGTGGGTCTAAAGATAGTGATTGATAGGTTAACTCTCTGTGGATTCGACCCTGGGCATAATACTCGGGTTATATTTGCAACGTCCGCATTGTCCTTTTTTATAAGGCATAGTTGGGCGTGATCAACAGTATCAAGTCTAGCAACAGGTGCAAATACCTCGAAGTAATCAATACCTACCTTCTGCTTGTATCCTTTAACAACTAATCCCGCCTTTAAACGATCCACTTCTCCAGTTGGTTTGAACTTGGTCTTGTATACCCACTTGACTCTAATTGGTCTTTTTGAGGGCGGTAAAGTAGTCAATTCCCATGTATTATTTTTCTCAATAGCGTGAATTTCTTCATTCATTGCATGAACCCATCGGTTATCTTTAACAGCTTCCTCAAAAGTAACTGGATCACAATCTGCAAATAAGGCAAAATTTACAAATCTTCATCGGATAAATCATTATCATCGCCAACAATATAATCTTGCAAAAGCTCCGGTAACTGGTGTTGTCTTTGCGGGCGACTGGACGTCTCTGCTTGAATAGTATCTACTACATGTTCCTCTTGATGTCTACTAGAACTTCCTTCCTCTATGATTGGAATTATTAGTTGAGACCTAGATGGTTCAGGATCCTTCTTTGTCCAATCCCAAGAACTCTGCTCATCAAAAGTAACATCTCTTCTAATAATCACTTTTCCTGTATCAGGATTAGACAACTTGTAACCCTTTGTCTCATGACTATAACCAATAAAAATATATTTTTCAGCTTTATTATCCAATTTCTTTCTCAAAACATCAGGAATATGAGCATAAGCAAGACAACCAAATACTTTTAGATGAGAAATATTTGGTTTCTTAGCTGTCCAGACTTCTTGTGGAGTTTTTTCAAAATTAGACCGTGTAGGACACCTATTTAGTACATAAATTGCACAGGATACAGCTTCTTCCCAAACACCTTTTGGAATATTTTTGTAATGCATCATAGATCTCACCATGTCCATCACTGTTCTATTTTTTCTTTCAGCCACACCATTTTGCTGAGGTCTATATCTAGCTGTCAATTGATGCTTAATACCATACTTCTTCAAATAATCATCACAAACAAGAAATTCAGTCCCCCCATCAGTCCTTAATATTTTAATAAAACACCTACTTTACTTCTCCACATAAACTTTGAAGCTCTTAAATATATCACATGCATCAGATTTATTTTTCAAAAAATATACCCAAGTCTTTCAGCTGAAATCATCAATGAAAGTAATAAAGTACTTATTACCACCATTTGAAGAAACTTCAACTGAGCACAAATCTGAATGAATTAACTGGAATGGTGCATTAGCTCTCCAAGCCTTGCCTTTCTGAAAAGGTTCTCTGTACTTCTTTCCCAAGATACACGACTCACACTTCCTGTCAGGAAAATCAATAGAAGGCAAACCATCAACCAAATTCTTTCTTGCAAGAAATTTCAAACTCCCAAAATTCAAATGCCCAAGACGTAGATTCCATAACCAAGTATCATCACAGTTTATAGAACTAAAGCAAGGTAAATCATCACTATTGGGATAAAGAGGCTACAAACGACTATTGTTCATGTTAAACTTTGCAATTAGTCCAAATTTATCATCACTGATTGTGTCAATCCTATACTTAAAATGCAAATCATACCCCTTTTCTGATAGTTGTACCAAGCTTAATAAATTATGATGAAGACTTGGCACATAAAACACATCTGATATAAAATTAGAAGAACCATCTTTCACAGTAATGCGAATTTTTTCCTTTCCAACAGCAGGCACCTTTGCGTTATTTCCAAGTCTCAATGTACCTCTAAATGTTTCATTCAGATCAGTAAATAATTTCTTATTTCCACACATATGATTGCTGCAACCCGAATCAATAAACCATGCATTCCCTTTAGTTTCTTCAACCCCAGAACTAGAAAATAAAAAAGTCTCTTGTTTATCCCCATTATTTTCAGCCATCTTAGCATGTACGTCTTTATTACCAGATTTATTAGACCAACATTCGCTTTTATAATGTCCAAATTTACCATAATTATAGCACTGAATCTTAGATTTATCACGTCTTTGAAAATTTTGATGACTTTGTTGTTCCTTCCAAAAATTGTTACTATTTCTTTGTTGATAAGAAAAATTGCCTCTACCACGGCTGCCTCGATAGTTACTTCTACCACGACCTCTACCTCTAAAATTCTGGTATCTTTGATTTGTTTCTTTAGGATAACCTGTCTCTTCTTTTGCTTTAGGTTGATTCACCTTTGCTTGCAACGCCTCTTCCACTATTTCGGGTGTGTCTTGAGTCAGGGACATCTCATATGTCACCAATTCACCTTCTAAATCATCAAGTTTAAAAGTGCTAAGATCTTTTGTAGCCTCAAGAACCACCTTCTTCGTGTGAAATTTTATACTCAAGGATCGCAATATTTTTTCAACCACTTTAACTTCATCTAGTACTTCTCTATTGGTCCTCATGCCGTTGACAATATTAGTAATTCTTGTAATAAATTCTTTAACGGACTCTGTTGGTTTCATTTGGGCCAACTCGTACTATCACCTTAGTTCTTGCAATTTGACTTTCTTTACTTCGGCGGAACATCGATGTGAATTCACCAAGATTGTCCAAGCCTCCTTAGTTGATTTTGCATGCAAAAATTTGTTAGATACACGCAATTCAACCTTGTTGGTGAGATAGTAACGTGCCTTATAATCCAATTGTCTATTTTTCTCTAATTGCTTAGCTGCATCACCTGTCAATGCTGTACCTTTTGGGGGTTCCTCAAATCCTGTTTCAATAATGGACCATAATCCAGCAACATTAAAAAAATATTTCATATATTGATGCCAATCTTCAAAATTATTTTTGCCATCAAACTTGAAAACTTGGCAATCATGTAAATATGGAGTATCTATAATTTTTTTAGGATCTCCACCGACTCTGACAGATTCTCACACAGGCTCTGATACCAATTTTAAGGATTGAAATACCGCGAAGAACAATTTAGGCACAAGCAAAAAATTTAGCAAAAGCTATATAGAAGAAATTTATTAAACTAGGGAGAGAACTTGGTAGGAGGGTTTTTCACAACTCATAAACTCTTGAATCTCTCTACAAGAACAAGTAGCAGCACCCCTATTTATAATACTACAAAATCAAAAACCTATTCCAATATAAAATTGGTAAACAAAACCTAACTAGACATGAATTAAATAAACTACCAAATATCAAAACCTAGACAACTTAGGAATACTAATTAATCTTAGTTTAGTTTCCGACAAAAGAAAATCAAGACAACTGTAACAGTTTTTAAAAATCTAATTTTAGTTCAACTTATAAATTAATCATACACGTATGAATTTCAGACTCCAAACCAAACGATTGACGCCTTGCAACGTCGGCTTTTTCTGGATCTCTAGTTCCCTTCTCTTTGCAGAAGAAATGCAAACTTTATTTATATATAAGGTCCAATTGAAACTATTCTCACGTTGCTGCATTTGAGACTTATGATATATAGTCCTATCTTCCACAGTTCCACGCAGCGTCTTTAAATAGCAATATATGATTTACTGTATATTTTAAGATCAATTTACCGTAGCTGCAAATTTTAAGTCTTTTAACTATTTAATGCATTAATGAGATTTACACTGAAATTACAAATCTTCTTTATCAACGAGCAAGTGAAAGAAAAAGAGATAAAATCCAAGATACAGCTTAAATGACATTAAGAAACTGAAAATTTGCATTTTATTAAATATTTTACTGTTATACTTGTACATATTAGTATATCTCATTTTTTGCACCTTTGGTTTCAAATGGGAATGATCTAGTAAATAACTAGACAAACTTGAAGCATTTTCAGCCCCCAATACTTATATTAACCACTATTGGAGCGCTAAGAATTTGAGAAATATTCAATTTAACATCCGCATTTCAACTTCGTTTATCTGGAATCTGCTCTTTCAAATTAAATGTCCCTTCAATCAATCATCAAACAGAAAAAAGTACTTGAACCTTAGAGGAGATGGCTGAGAAAGCAAAGGGAACAGGAAGCCAATTGTCACCACCAGAACTATATTAGTATACATATTGACAATATGCATTTTTTCCCTTCCAACATCCATCCACACGACACCTTTCATTGTTTCAACTCCCAGTTCAATAAATAATTTTCCCCCTCGAAGCTGGAAAGCGATCAGTCAATTTCTTAAACCATTGGCATCTAGGGATACAGAAGGGCCACCTTTTATCAAATACAAACTAAAGTGCTACGAACAGCCTCAGAAACCAGGGAAGCGGTGTTCTCATCAGCAACGCTTATCATGGTTTGTGAAGCTGTAACCTCTATCAAGGCTTCATTGGGCTCTGAGATGCAAATAGTATATACAGTTTCTGATCCATTAGCAATCTGGGCATGATGTGCAGTTGCTTTCATCCCCATCTTCTTTAGGGCCATCAGAAGGGAGTTCAAGTCAACTCTACCTAGAAATAACAATGGCCTATCTTGTGAAGAAAGCACTTGCTTCTTTCCAAGAACTAACTGATGTTTTCCCTGCTCAACGAGCAACTCTCCCTTTAATCTTACAATATTATTTTCATGTATTACTTTTGTATAATTGAGCAGCTCAGGAGCCAAGTCCATGGCGATGTACATATCTGCATAATTTAACTTAGGTATAACTACAGTTTCATTTTCAGAGAAATAACTGACTGAAATTGTGGGGTTCCAACAGCTTATATGGGACCTCAAACCCTCAGGAACCTGAAATAAGCAAAAAGGGTAGTAGTTAAGGGAGCATGAACGGTTCAGTATCTTGGAGCAGAAAATTTGGGGTTGGGGTTGGGGTTTGGGTGGGGGGGGGGGGGGGGGGGTAGGAGAGAGAGAGAGAGAGAGAGGAGGAC